TGAAAAACTACCTGCAAAGTTAAGTTCCAGACCAAAATACAAAAAAGACAAAATTCATATATTCACAACTGAAAATTTTACAGATCTCCGACCCTTCTGCTGTCGTCATCCACTCTCAAATGACATATTTATGACATTAATTTTCTTACCTACCTATCTATCGGCATTATGCAAGTACCTATGAAATGTACGTCATATTGTGGATAAGATATCCACAATCACAGATCAAAATATAACCTCACAGGAAACAAACACGATTTTACTATAAAAATACATCTAATCAAATAATTGAATTAATAACTTTAAGTATTTAACAGTCCCTGTTTTGAGATGTGAAAACTTCGTAAAATAGAGACTAAAGTATTTAAAATTTCCACTTTCATACTTCAAGTAATTCAAGAGTATTTAAAATACTGAGTGAAGTACTTGGAGTAAAGTACTTGGCAAAATCAAGTACTAAACTCAAGTACATTTTAGAAATACTCCAAGTACCAAGTACCAAGTACCTAAATATAAAAGTACTTCAAGTAAAGTACTTGAAGTACTTAAAGTACTTGAAGTATTACTTCAAGTACTTTTACTTGAAGTACTGAACAGCTCTGATTAAGATCTAGCTTTTGTAAGTGGGAGTAGCATCGGTAATTTTACTTTTTAAATATAATTCTCACGTCGGTATGCTTATTTAACACCAGATTAATACTTTCTAGATACTTATAGTTTAATAATTTATCTATTTTCTCACCAGCAGTTTAACAGATTTCCGTAAGGTTCTAATAAGATAATAACGTCATTAATTAACAATAGTAAGAGTCGTCAGTAGAATGAAGAAAGGGTGGGTGGGCGGGGCTATTGCTTGCTTATAAAAGACTGCGTGGAAAAAAGTTAGACTTAGCCCCGCCCGTTCTCAATTTTGTCATCTGAAATAAGAATAAATCTTATAGCAAATACTCGAACAAAAAATACGATTATCGTTTTTTTTTCTCTTTTTTACAGCCAACGTTCTATTAGTTGCCATTTTCACTCTACAGATGAACATATACTTAACTCCGCCCACCCACCCCGCCTCTATTTCAGTGATTGATTTTGTCTAGTCGAATGAAAGCTGGTCCTTATACTAAATAGAAATAAAATCGTTAGAATATAACCACGCGGGTGGGCAGGGCTAATACCTACTAGGATAAGATTGATTTAGAAAGATATGAAAGGAAATAGAGAGATATAGAAGGATATAGAATGATATAAAAGAAAATAAAGGAAAATAGAAGGATGTAAATGTATGTAAGAATATAGATGGATGTAAAAGATGTATATGGACATAGAAAGATATACATGGATGCAGGCAGGCATAGAAGGAAATAGGGAAGTATAGAAGGATAGAGTAGAACGGACGGTATGGAAGGATATAAATAATTTAGAGGATCTAGAAGAATATCAAAGATATATAAAGATATATACCCATACAGAAAGACATAAATGTACATAGATTGATCCAGAAGAATATATAAAAGCATACGGGACGATAGAGAAAACATATAAGACAAATATAGAAGTATATGGAAAGATATAAACGGACATCGAAGATATAGATTGATATAGAAAAATGTAGGGCGATATAGGATATAAACGGATATAGAATGATATAAAAGAAAATAAAGGGATACAGAGAGATAGAGATGGATGTAAAAGATATCGACGGATGTAGAAACATATAGAAGAAAATAGAGAAGTACAGGAGGATATAGGAGGACGGCCGGTACGGAAGATTATAAATCATATAGAAGGATATTGGCGAATATACACGAATTTAGAAAGATATAGAGGTATATAGAATGATTCAGAAGAAAATAAAGAGATATCGAAGATGTAAAAGCATATGGGAGGGTATAGATAGAAATGAATGGATGTAAAAGGATATAAACGGATATAGAGTGATATAGAAGAAAATAAAGGGATATAGAAAACTGTAGCTGAACGTAAAAGATATAGACAAATGTGGAAAAATATAGAAGAAAATAAAGAGGAATAGGAGGATATAGAAAGACGGCCGATATGGAAGGACATAAATAATATAGAAGGATATTGACGAATATAGACGAATACAGACGAATTTAGAAGGATCTAGACGGATCTCGAAAATATAGAATGATATAGAAAGTTGTAGACCGATCTAGGATATAAACTGATATAGAATGATATAAAAGAAAATAAAGGGATATAGAAGGAAATAGATGGATGTAAAAGATATATACAGATGTAAAAGATATAGACGTATGTATAAACCGTAGAAGAAAATAGAGAATTATAGGAGAATTTAGAACGAATCATTAGGAGAACAAAAGATACAGAATGATATAGAAGAAGATAGAACGATATAGAAAGATATAAGCGTATATAGCATGATCCAGAAGAAAATAAAGAGATATCGAAGAATATAAAAGCTATAGAAAACATAAGACAAAATAATAAATAAAGAGGTATAGAAGGATATAGATGGATGTAGAAGATATAGACGGATGAAGGAAGATATAGAAGGAAATATTAACGAATATAGATGAATACGGACGAATTTAAAAGGATCTAGACGGATATCGAAGGAGATATAGAATAATATAGAATGATACAGATGAAAATAAAGGGATATAGAAAGATATAAAAGCATATGGGAGAATATAGAAAAGCTTATAGACAGATCTAGAAGAATATGAAGGGATATAGACATATATGGACGAATACAGAAGGATATCTATAGAAGGATATAAATGAACACAGAAGGGTATTGACGGATATATAAGTGCATATAAGTGATCTTGAAAATATTTTCGATAAGATAGACGCCTCTCAATACACATTTGAGTAGTTTTAAAGTTCCTTCGAAAAGAGGTATTTTCTCCGTTATTACTGCCCCTAGAGCAAAAATGGGCACACATTCATTCTGTAGGAAGGCCAGATGAATACATTTTGAGGAACAATTTGCCATGTTTCCTATAGCATAAAACCTTAAAATGTTTTCAAGATCTCGAATATTCAGTTGTTACAATTTTAACATTAAATTGTAAAATGCAAAAATTCAACACGGATTCATAAACCACAGGTACAAGATTATCCTATTTTACAGAATTTAACTATTATTTTTTGTTGTAAATTTTGAAAATAGCGTCATTGGGCCGTTATTGGGAGACGATTAGACATATTTAGACACCATATTCTTAAAATAAATATAAAATTTTGTAGACATCGGTCCAATAGCTTCGAAAATTATTATCTATCTAAAATAAATCGATACACACAGACGGAAAAGCGAGACCTAGTTTTTCGTACATAGGGATTATGAAGTGTCAAGAAACTATTCTTGGGATGGATTCTATTACAATAGTTCCTTAGCTTACTCCGGAGAAGTAAAAATTTCCTGAATTTCGCCTTAAAATCAAAATAGTTTTTTTTGAAAATATATAAGTTTAATTTCTTGTTTTATTAAATTTTGTATGAACTGTAAAATATTAATTTAGAGTATATTTCAGGTCACTATTTCATAAATTTGTTTTCATGCCAGTGTTAAAAATACCATAAAGTGATAATGATAATGTATGAATAATTTCTGTTTATTTAAGTAAGCATTTGTTATAATTTATTTAACAAACATTAATGTTTACTTTGTTATTGTTACCACTAATTTGATTTGTTTATTGTAACCAAACGATTTTGTAATATTTACATTAATATACAAGATGATTCAAAACTGGTGCACTAACTCAGGTACACATTGTTAAAATCACAAGTCTAAGTGTGAGAATAATCATTAAAAATTATATACGTCAATTTGACGTTTACTTACAAAAACAAAGTGTTGATTTAGGTAGATAGATAAGAAAGGATGAAAATTAATTTTGACGATTTTTGCAATATTATAAAATGAAGAAAACTGGATAAAAACATGATACTTTCAAAATTATTTTGAATAATGAAAATCCGATCGATTTAAAAAAATACTGTTTTGAAAAAATTAAAAATTATAATTATTAATTAGCCACAAATTAAATAATTAATGCAGTAAAGAAGTTTTCAAGTGAATATTATTTCTCGCTATGAATACTTAATAAGATGTTCCTTTGGGTCAATTATATAGCAACGATTCCCATTTTTTAAGATCATTAATTTTTTAATTAATTTTCAAAACCTCCAGACGTCAATGTGCTTAGTCTAAAAATAACATCTGTAAACACTTGTGTTATATTTTATTTAAGAAAATTTCCTGTAACGTGTTAGCAATGTCGCCGCAACATTTACAAATTTAATTTTCATAAAACCATTTCATTCTTCAGAATTAAGCCGACTCACTAAAGCAAAATAAGAATATGCGGTTTTCAGGATCTAAAACTAAAACATGAGGTTAAAATTTTTCAGACATGTGTATTACCTTCAGAAAAGTTTCCAGCGACAGATCAAACAAACCCAGCGTCGAAATTTTTAACGTGCTTTGTGATTTCATCATAAAAAATACAAGATCGTGTTTCGTATCCTGGGGTGCATCAGGCCACTGAGAGTGGAAGGCAGCAATAACGACCTTACTACTCTGCATATAAACACAAAAATTAAAAATAATATTGTAGATACATATAGCCATACATACTTTTAACTCTAGTTCATTTCCAAACCAACAATAAATGAATATTTCCAAAAATATGGCACCTTCATAGAACACAAACAAGCAACATTCTCCACTGAAAGGTTCCACCTGCACAAAAAATACAATAATAAATCCAAAAATGAACAAAAATGTAGCTTACTGTGGTTAGAAGAAATATAGTAAATCCCAACGACACGGTGCTTGCAAAAAATTGAATAAATATCATCCAGTTAAACGTTTGGTTGTAGGTTTTGACAAAACTGTAAAACAATGAACAATTTTGACTACTTTTAATGTTACTATTCTTATACCTGATAATTTGTCTATAACGTTTAATACATAGCACCACCTCCCTCCTGAATTTACCTGGTTCCATTCATCTCAAATCATCACACAAAATATCAAGTTGTGCCCCAGCATATAAATTGAAAGCTGCCACGAAAGTATCGATATTTGCATTGCAACATCCGTAGATATAAATTGTTATAACTTGATGCAAATACGTGACCTCGAAAAAGGGTGAGATTGTGGCATCATAGGGATACGAAGCCAGAAGTGGTAAATTATGCTTCTTCGCCGAACCTGTCACCAGTGGTGCCACTGCATATGAAGTTACCGCCACTACAATACTAATCCCTAACAAATTATGCATAGACTTCCAAACATTTAAGCTCGGAGTGACCAACTCAATTTGATCTTCGTCACGAGGCTGAAAGAGATCACTATTTAGCGTCACCAAAAGCTCTTTAAACGTTTCTATATTTCGAGCCATATACAACATTTTCACTACAACCAAAGTTTCGGAAATTGATAAAAATGCAGTTCCTGTTACGACGTCCAGGTCATTTAAATTCGTTAGTAATTTCCAAGTGCGACAAACGCAGTGGAGGGTGGCAAACATGATGGTGGTGGTAAAGCCGTAGAGTAAGTATAAGTCGAATTTGTATGTTTGTCCTTCGGGCCACAATCCCATAGCTTTTAATAGTGTTAGATTTAGCTTGATCGTGGATACCCAGTCGTATTTTTTCATGGCCACAGCAGGGCCGTTAGACTCACTTCACAAGGGATTAAATTAAAATGAAAATTTTGCGTGACGTTCCATCTTTTATAAGTGTTAATCAGCCAATCAGAATTGAGTGATCTAGTGCTGCGATCAAAGATCAGCTTAATTATTGATATCTCTGAAATGATAGAGGTCTGATGTCGTGACTATTAGTAAAGTGGTTTTTAAAAGAGGATTTATGCATAATGCATTAAAGAAGTAGATTGTTCCGACAACTGAAAAGTTTGTTTTTTCTGGCGGTAGTGTCTTGGTAATATAAATAATAAAGCGTAAATAATGAAAATTTAAAAATGGGGATGTTTGTGTAAGGGAGTAGGTGAATAATGTATTCGGAATTAAAATCTACGCATTTTTTCGTATTAGCAAATAAATGAAATATCTGCTTGTCTGACCTGTTGTGATCTTTATATATAATTTTATTGAAAAACCGAGCATTCGAAAAATCTAAAATATAGATATCGACGTGGAAGATTTTTGAAATATTCTGTCTAAAATTTTTCTTTTTTATAAAGCTTATCAGCTACTGTTAGTTCCATGTTCGATTTTGTGAAGTAATAGAGTTATCGAAGAAATGTGACCAAAGGAAACTTATATCAGTTTAAATCTACGAGAAGTTTTTTTTTTAGATAATTTTAGAAAGTGGTCGAAAAAGGTCGGAAATTCGCCAAAAAATCTGGCAATAAATATCGTTGCGGTGATTAGAAAAATATAGCGCGTTTATGGACTCGAAACCAGATTTTATAATTATAAATATTAGGTTTGAAATCCAATTTTTCTTTTAATTTTAAAAATCGCCATTTTTCTTTTGTAACTTCTGGTGGTCCAATTATAAGAAAATGTTGTATTGTCAGAGTTCTGTTTTAAATTAAGATTAGTGATAAATTTTTGTTAAGTTATATGCGTTTAACTAGAAATTAAAATATATTTAAAAAAGTACTTAGATTACCTATTTATATATATAATATCCAACTTTAGTAAGTCACACAAACTGTGGAATTTTGATATGAATTTAAAAATTGAGCTTTAAAAAACTGTTTAAAAATTCACAAAAAAAAATTGGAAGATAAATCTCGAGGTCCCGATTCAAAAAATATAATTTTGCCTTTTTGTTTTAATATGTGTAGACTTCTTTTCACAACATAAAGCCTAAAACATGTTTAAAATGGAAAATTTGTATAAGGAAATATCGATTTTACAAATTAGGTTCCGCCCCATAGTTGTAAAATCCATATTTCCTTAAATGAAAAATATCTCCATTTTTCTTCAAATAGATACGGCGTTCCTGTTTAAGTGTAAATTTTTTGATAATGTTTGTCTTGACAACTTTTCTGGAATCTTTTGGAAAAATACCATCAATAATTCAAAATTTTGATTTCCAGCTGTAATCTTATTCCGAGACCACAAGTCTGTTATTTTTTTATTCAGCTCGTCCAGAATTACTCTTCAGAATTTTTTGGCAATTTTTTTTCGATTTCGAAAAAATCAATTTTTGGAGATTTGATAAAGCTTGAAATTTTAGATTTTCTACTAAGATCTTCGAAAAATTAGAAAAAATTCTCCTCGGTCAAGTTCGAGCTTCTGAAGTTTTTGGTCGATATTTCCTGTCGTTTCACCAAAATTTCTAAAACGATTAATGGCAGATTTTGACATATTTTGAAAATTCAGATTTGAACCTATATAGTTCGGAAAGTAGTCACCGTACGAACTTCTCCTTTTTTTCTCCAGATAGATAAGGCGTTTCTGTTTAAGTGTGAATTTTTTCATAATTTTTGTCTTCACAACTTTTCTGGAATCGTGTTGAATGTGTTCTTTTGGAAAAATACTATCAATAATTAAAAAAATTTTGATTTCCAGCTGTAATCTTATTCCGAGATCACAAGTATGTTATAGTTTTCGATTCAACTTCTTGAGATCTACTCCTGAGAATTTTTCGGCGATTTTTGCCGACTTCGAAAAAAATTAATTTTTGGAGATTGGATAAAGTTTGAAATTTTTGACTTTATACTAAGGTCTTCAAAAAATAACAAAAAATTCTGCTGGGTCAAGTTCAAGCTACTGAAGTTTTAAAAAGATTTTAGAAAAATTCGGTTCAAAAGTCTATTTCTTTAAAGAGTTCAAAAACTGTTGTATTTTATTGGGTGATTCTGGAAAAATTGTTGGTGTTTTCAAAGAAATGAGACCGAAAGTAAATTCTGGAAGCCGAAATCTATAAAGAAATAATTTTTCGGTAATTTTTAAAGTCGTATAGAAAACTTGAGCTTCCGAAAAAGTCGTCTAAAAGAAGAAATCAAGTCAAAAATACCTACTGAAGGTCGAAGTCTATAACGAAATCTTTTTAGGTAATTTTCGAAGGTGGCTGAAAAAAAGTCAAAATTTTCATAAGGAAATTTTTTAAATATGTATGTAGAAAAGCTAAACTTTTCTTAAAAATGTATAAAAATTCGCAAGAGATTCTCAACGTGTGTGAAAATTATAACATGTTTACGGCCCTGGAACAAGATTTTACAAATATTGGGTTTAAAACTATTTTTTTTTAATTCTGAAAATCCACATAATTTATTACATTATTTTATGGGAAATCTTGGAAAATTGGTGGGACTTTTCTGAGAAATGAGGTCAAAAACAACTCAGAAACATCAAAATCTACAAAAAAGTCTAATTTTCGACGATGATCGAAAAAGGGTCGATTTTTTTTCATAATTTTCGTAATTGAAAAATTAAGCTTTTGAAAAAGTCGACTAAAAATTCACAAAAGGTTCTAAAATATAGATCTCGACATGCTAATTCAAAAAATATAGCATGTTTATGATACTGGAACAAGATTTTTCTGAAATGTTATATAGTAGTATTTTTTTTTAAAACCTTAAAAATTAATATGTGTAATTCAGTGGGGAATTCTGGTGGGAGTTTTAAAAAAAATGAGACCGAAAGTAAATTCTGGAAGTCGAAATTTATAAAAAAAATTTTTTAGATAATTTTTAAAAGTGGCGAAAGAAGGTCAAAATTTTCATAAAGACGGAAATCTGAAAACTTGAACTTCTGAAAAAGTCGTCTAAAAATTCACAAAAAATGTAGCATGTTTATGGTTCTGGAATAATATTTTTTTGAAGTATTCGTTTTAGAATTATTATTATTTTTTAAATCCTGAAAATTGACATACATAATTCAATGGCGAATTCTAGTGGGAGTTTCCAAGAAATGAAGTCAAAATTAACTTCTGAAAGTCAAAATGTACAACTTTAGAAAATTTGCGAAGTTGGTTGAAAAAAAGTCAAAATCTTCATTAAGAGAAATTTTTCATATAGAAAAATTGAGCTTTTGTAAAAGTTGTATAAAAATTCACAAAAGATTCTGAACGTGTTAATGTGAAAATTATAACATGTTTGTGGTCCTGGAACAAATTTTACAAATATTCGGTTTAAAATACATATTTTTTTTAATTCAGAAAATTCACGTAGACTTATTGGAGAATCCTGAAAAATTGGTTGGTGTATTCTAAGAAATGAGGTCAAAATCGACTTCTGACCGTTGGAATATTCAAAAAATTTCTTTAAGTAATTTTCAAAGGTGATCGAAAAAGGGTCGAAACTTTCATAATTGAAAAATTTACCATTTGAAAAACTTGGTTAAAAACCAAGAAAAAAATTCTGATATGCAGATTTCGGTGTGTAAAAATTGACATATGTAATTCATTCGGGAATTCTGGAAGTTGTCTACGAAATTAGACCAAAAATAACTTCTGAAAGTCAAAATGTACAACAAAATGTTTTTAGGTAATTTTCGAAGGTGGGTGAAAAAAAGTCAAAATTTTTATAAGGGAAATTTTTCAAAAATTGAGCTCTTGTAAAATTTTTATAAAAATTCAGAAAAGATTCTCAACGTGTTTATGTGAAAATGATTACATGTTTCTAGTCCTGGAACAAGATTTTACAAATATTCGGTTTAAATTTTTTTTTAATCCTGAAAATTTACATAATTTATTAGGGAATCCTGGAAAATTAATGAGAGTTTTCTAAGAAATGAGGTCAAAAGCAACTTCTAAACTTTGAAATCCACAAAAAAAATTTGTAGGTAATTTTTGAAGGTGATCACAAAATGGTCGACTCTTTCATAATTGAAAAATTGAAAAAGTCGCCTAAAAAACAAGAAAAAAGTCTGGTATATAAATGTCGGTGTGCCGATTCGAAAAATATAGCGTGTTTATGTCCCGGAACAACATTTTAGAAATATTCCGCTCAAAATTTGTTTCTTTAAAGAATCCAAAACTGTTGTGTTTTATTATGCGATTTTGGAAAAATGGTTGGAGATTTCAAAAAAATGGGGACAAAAATAAATTCTGGAGGGCGAAATCTATAAAGAAATTTCTTTAGGTGATTGCTAAAGGCGGCTGAAAAAGGTAATTTAAAAAAAAGCAGCTTCTGAAAAAGTCGTCTAAAAATTCACAAAAAATTCCAAAATTTTTTTTTTAATATTTTTTTAGAATTATTATTAATTTTTTTTAATCCGGAAAATTCAAGTATGTAATTCGTTGGGAAATTCTGAGAGTTTTCTAAGAAATTAGATCAAAAATTACTTCTGAAAGTCAAAATCTACAACAAAATTTCTAGGTAATTTTCGAAGGTGGTTGAAAAAAGTCAAAATTTTCATAAGGGAAATTTTTCATATATAAAAATTGAGCTTTTGAAAAAGTTGCTTAAAAATCAAGAAAAAATTCAGGTATGTAGACGTCGGTGTGTTGTTTCGAAAAATATTGCGTGTTTGGGAAGAACATTATAGAAATATTGGGTTCAAAATCTATTTCTTTAAATAATCCAAAAACTGTTCTATTTTTTTTTTGACGATTCTGGAAAAATGGCTGGGGTTTTCAATGAAATGAAGCCGAAAATAAATTCTGGAGGTCGAAATCTATAAAGAAATTTCTTTAGGTAATTTTAAAGGGGGTCGAAAAAAGGTCAAAATTTTCATAA